GCCCCCGAGCGCAAGATTTTCGAATGCTTCGACATGCGCTCGCGACAGGTCCGCGTGGTCTCATTTGAGGAGAGCGTGTGTTATGCAGAAGTCGGAAGAGACCGCGCGCTGTTCTTGTTTTGAAAAGTATGTTGGGCAACACTTGTTCTGTATCGGTTGCCAAGAATCTCGGCCTTGAAGTCCTGTGTGTGAAGGATTTCTACATGCGCGCGCGACGACGCGCGCGTGTGTGGATGTTGTGCCGCTTCTGGCAATGTATGTTTGAAACTAATATATTATATGTCATAAGCGAGAGCGCGCGCATAGTAATATTTGAGAGGGATGAGGGGGGGCGATAAGGGGAATTCCCTGGGATGGTACGAATTCAGATGGAGAGTGAACGATAAGCATGTGTAAATTGCCACGGTCCAGGGGGGCCAGTAGTCCAGGGGGGTTGAGTTGATTTTCTCCTTTTGGCAAGGGCAACATATGTAGTGTACGCTATGTGGTGCAATCTATGTGAACCAGTGCAGGTCAATGCAAAGCAATGCGAAGCAATGCGACGCAATGCTAAACACTGCACACCAATGCAAATCTATGCAGATCAATGCACAACAAGGCAAATCACTGCGAGGCAACGCAAAGTAATGCCCAGCAGTGCAGAGCAATGAGAGACAATGCAAGGCAATGCAAAGCCATGCAATGCGATGCAAATTTTGTGTGATGCGAACGGGGGGGGGGCGGCAACGGGGGAGCGGCGACGAGGCGGCGACGGGGGCGACGACGGCGACAACAAGCCGGGTGAGCCGACACCCAGGCCCAGCTCGTTCCAAGGCAACGAAGACCCCCTGAGTGCAAGCACTGTTTGGGGAACATTCGCGAGCAGAAGCTTGAACCCATGCTGCGCTGATGGAGGGCGGCTCCTTCTCAAAGTGGGGCCCTCGCGTAAGACCTCTGCAGATTGAGCGACCAGAGCTGTAAACTAGCCAACTGGTTACACGGATGGGTGCCCTAGAATCGTCGGCGAACGAGGGGGGATAAAGAGAATCAGAAGGCGGCGGGACTTCTTAGAAGCTCTCGCGCCTTCTGCAAACAAATTCTGCGTCTTCGGGGAAGGCTTAGAAAATTTCTCACAAGGCTGGGGAACTTCCGAGCCTTCTGAGAAGGCCTTCTCCTTCTCACTAACCCCCCTCGCTCGCCGCCGAAAGAAGGATGCAAGGCGGTTCTTTGTCCGAACGAGGCTCCAGCCCAAGTAGAAACCCGTAGAAAGAATCCTCGCCGTTCAAGTGGACGTTTCGTGCAATGGAAAGGTAGGCTTGAAAGCTCGGGACGGGAGGGTGTATTGCAGCCTCGTTGATACATCTTGCGCGCTACTCTGGCCGAGCCAAGCCTCCCCCTCCTCCCCGACAGATTCGGTCCTCCCTGGTCCTCCTCGGTCCTTCCCTCCTCGACGGCCGAGAGGATCGAGCACAGCCATCTGTCACATGAGAGGTCGAGCTGCTCCCTTTTCGGAGGGAGGGCAACCAAAACGCTCCAGCATGGAGGTGAAGAGCGCCTCCAGACTGGAGGTCGAGCCTTCTTTCTCCAGGTTTGCGATTGTCTGGGGGGTCGCCGGAGGAGGAGGAGGAGGAGGAGGAGGAGGAGGAGGAGGAGGAGGAAAAGGAGTAGAAGAAGTAGAAGGAGTAGAAGGAGTAGAAGGAGTAGAAAGAGTAGAAGGAGTAGAAGGAGTAGAGGAGTAGAAGGAGTAGAAGGAGTAGGAGTAGAAGGAGTAGAAGGAGTAGAAGGAGTAGAAGGAGTAGAAGGGGTAGAAGGGATGGGAAGGATGAGGAGAAGAGGAGGAGGAGGAGAAGTAGAAGGGAAGAGGAGGAGGAGGAGAAGAGGAGGAGGGGAGGAGGAGGAGGAGGAGCCTGGTCCACCATCCGCCCCGCCGGGTGGCCAGGCGGAGCGCCCGTGGACCCGCCAACAACATGCGCGCCCCGCCCTCGCATGCTCGCACGGCCGTCCCAGCTGCTTCGCCTCGGGGGAGGGGCGGCTCCGTGTGCATCCGGGTGCCCTGGTCGACGCCGCGCCCCTCGGCCCCCACACCGCCCAGGGGCTCCCCCTCCTCCTCCTGCTCCTCCTCCTCCTCCTCCTCCTCCTCCTCCTCCTCCTCCTCCTCCTCCTCCTCCTCCTCCTCCCCCCTCCATCCTCCTCGTCCCAGCTGCTTGGCCTGGGGTGAGGGGCGGCTCCGTATGCATCCGGGTGTCCTCGTCGACATGGCGCCCCTCCCCAGACCTCCTCGCGCGGGGGAAAAAATCGCGACGGGCCGTTTTTCGCTCTTTTCGGCCTCCGGGGGCCCCCGACGGGCCGCGGGAGCGTCAGAAAATGACTCAGGATGCAAAGCCAGACCCGGGGAAGGGGTCCAGACCCCTGGGGGTCCATGTGAAAAAATCACGACGTCGGGGGCCTGGGAAGGAGGGGGAGCCCATGCCCCTGCTGCCACTGGAGCAGGCCGCCAGGGCGTGCTCGACAGACCCACCGCATTGCTTCGTTCCCCCGGCCGTCGCGGGAGGCTGTCCCCATGGCCACGGCGCTTCCCGGCATCCGCTCTGCCCAGGGGCGACGTGGCAACGTGGACCGCCTTGGGCTCAGGGGCGGGCTCTGGTTCCCGGGCCGCTCCTCAGGCCTAAGTCGGGGAGCCTATCTAGTCGTGGCCGAGGCCTGCCGTGGCCAGGGACCGTGGTGGCCTGCCGACCGCATGGCAGCACGATGGTCGTCCCTCCCCCGCTGCCTCTTCCCCCCCCCCTCCGCTCCACGCTCCCCGAGGGAAGCACGGTCTGCCTCGGTGCCGTTCCGTGTTCAGCGTCCTCAGACCTGGGTCTGAGATCCTGCTAGTGGCCGAGGCTCGCCGTGGCCAGAGGAGTCCCTTTGGTTTCTCTTTCTCGGCGACCCACGTGGTACAGCCGGACCGAGGTAATTCCAAGATCGAGGTCGGTTCGGGAAGGGTACCCACATGCTCTTCGTGTGAGTGTGTGTTGGCTGCTCTTGCGCACCCTGGAGGAGGGCACCCTCGAATGTTCTTCAGTTTTGGGCAGGCAGAGGGTCTCGTGCTCTTACAGGCTGCTCGTCTGCCCCAGGCCCGATTGTAGCACGATGGAGGAGGAGGAGGAGGAGGAGGAGGAGGAGGAGGAGGAGGAGGAGGAGGAGGAGGAGGCGAGGGAGGAGGAAGAAGCACGAGGAGGGAGGGGTGAGGAGGAGGAGGAGGAGGAGGAGGAGGAGGAAGGAAGGAGGAGGGGGGAGGAGGAGTAGGAGGAGGAGGAGTGAGCGGAGGAGGAGGAGGAGGAGGAGGAGGAGGTGGAGGAGTGGTAGGAGGAGAAGGAGAAGGAGTAGAAGAAGGAGGAGGAGGAGGAGGAGGAGGAGCAGGAGGAGGAGCACGCTAGGCAGCGGCCTCGCCTCGCGCCCTGGGCGGGCGGGCCGCCTGCGCGCACGGGCGCGCGCTCTCTGGGGGCGGCGTGTCGTGCCCCTCGATCCCCCTCGTCGGCGCCGCGCGCCCCGGCAGAGGAGCCGGGCACGAACGCCGAGGTCAAGGCCTTCGCGCAGTCGAAGTGCCCCCCGCCCCGCCGCGGGAGGGGGGCGGGGGAAGGGGGGGGGGAGGGAGAGAGGAGTGAAGGGGCAGAGGCAGAGGCAGGGAGGAGGTCAGGAGGGAAGGGGGGGGGGCAAAGGGGCAGGAGGCTGGGAGGAGGGAAGGGGGAAGAGGGAGGCAGGAGAGGGGAGGAGGGGGAAGAGGGGAGGAAAGCGGAAAGAGCCCAGGGGATGATCATGAACCCAGCGCGGCCCCAATTAAGGGAATGCTTCCTGCGTAAGTTACTGACCAAGGAGGGCATTGCTTGGCACTTCTTGGTTATGCTCAGCATTGCTTGGCGCTGCTTGGCATTGCATGGCATTTCTTAGGAACGCCTCTTCATAAGGAAGTACCTAGAGGAGACAAGGCCAAGGGACCAGGGGAACCCAGGGAACCCGAGAATAAGTCCAGACGGCGCAGGCCCGGCACCCAGCGGTTCCAACAGCAAGCGGCCGTTGCGCGCTTTGGGCGCCCTCGAAGTCTGGGCAATCGTGGAAGGCGTGGCGTGGCGTGTGGCGTGGCGTCAGCTGCTGGTGCCAGCTGCGCGGCAGGCTGCGCGCCAGGCTGCGCACTGCTGACCACTGCGTAAGCATGAGACAGCAGGGCAGAAGAGTCCAACAACAGGAGCAAGTCAGAAGCAGCAAGAGCAGCCGTCCTGCAAAACGTCGTGATTGGTCCGTTATGGGCGAAAACAGTGCGTTCGAGCCTTCGAGCGTTGTTGGCTTGCTTCCCTCATTGAACTAACTGCAAATGTTGTACCGCTTTCGTGGCGGATGAGGGAAGAGGAAACGCTCCATTGCGTTTGGTGTATAGGTGCTGCCCCTTGCCCCACGGCCAGAACTTGCTGAGCAAGTCTCGGCGCCCTGTGCACTCCCTGCCTCGGCCCTGCACGCTCACTCCGTCTGCGCGGGACACGACGAGCGCGCCTATCTGAGGCCAGTGTGGAGCTGAGCGCAGCTCCTCCTCCTCCTCCTCCTCCTCCTCCTCCTCCTCCTCCTCCTCCTCTTCCTGACATCCTGGCTCAAGAAATGGTTCGGCTCGAGCCCGAGAGCCTGGCAGCCGCTCACAGCCTGGCGCAATGGCCGGCGGGAGGCCGAAGAAGGGGCTTGCCGGCGACAAGCCGAGCGCCGGGCCAGCGGGCCAGCGAGCGCGTAGCCAGCCGAGGACGAAGGGGCTTGCCAGCCCGCTCGCGCTCACGGGCCCCGCCGCGTTGGTGGCTGTGGCGGCGGCGCTGATCCTGGGCGCGGCGCTGCGGCGCGGCGGGTCCGAGGAGTTGGATTCGGATCTGGAGGCGAAGGCAGAGTGCACGCCAGCCGATGGCCAGGGCTGCATTGCGCCGCTGGTCTACCCGGATTGTGAGCACAGCTGCAACTACTCCAGGATCATCAGCCTGGGCTGCGGGAACACGGAGCCGAACTACCCCGTTTGCCCCGTGGGCCCCAACTCGAGGAACAAGAAGTGACATACAGATAAGCTTTCGGAGGTCCGCGCTGATTTCTTAGATCGGCGCTGGACCCCCCTCCCTGGCGAGCGCCGCCAGGGGGCTCCAGTCCCGATTCAAGAAATCCGCGCGGACCTCCGAGAGTTTATGTTTATGCTATCTGATGTTCCCCAACCAACGGCTGCAGGAACTGCAAGGACAAGCACCAGGGGTGCCCCGGCTTTGCGGCGGCGTACGGGGGCAAGGGGTGCGAGGACAACCCGCCGTTCATGCTCGAGGTGTGCCCGCAGACGTGCAACGCGTGCCATCTCGTGGACAAGACCCCACGGTGCAGACAAGTACGGGAGATGCCCAGCGCAGTGAAACCAGGCGCCATAAATCAGACTTTCGAGCGCATGCTGAGAATCAAGGGCCTCAGTGTAGAGGTCATCAGCAGAGATCCTTGGATCGTGAAGCTTGCCAATTTCTTGACTCAGAAGGAAATTGACTTTCTGAAGGATGAGCAGATCCGAGGCCCGTGGAAGCAGGCAGCCGACATGGACGGAGGTGGGAATACGGTGCACTCCACCAATCGAAAGACGGAGGTGGCCTGGTGCGACTGCCACTGCCAGAACCACCCCGTGTCCAGGCGGCTGTTTGCTCGGATCGGCGAGGTGTTGCGTGTGCATCCTCACTACACGGAGGCGATGCAGTTCCTGCGGTACACGGAGGGCATGTATTACAAGCCTCACCACGACTCGCCGCACATAAGCCGCAACGTCAACCATGCTTGCAAGCACAGGATCTACACGTTCTTCATGTATCTGAACGATGTGCCTCAGGGTGGAGCAACTGCCTTCCCTGGGCTCAACATCTCTATCAAGCCGGAACGTGGCTCCGCAATCCTGTGGCCGTCAGTCTACGACCACGACCCGTACGTCGCGGATATTCGCACGATTCATGAGGCGTTGGCTGTAGAGAAGGGCGAGAAGCTCTCAGTGAACGTGTGGTGGACGCAGGGCCCGAGGGTCTTGTCGGACAACCTCGGCTGCGACGCGGCGCCGATCAATTTCCGCTAGCCGCTGTGTCTGTCCCTGCACCACGGTGCTGATTTTCTCTGGCCAGTCCGCCGTGCAATATGTAGCGTTTCATCCCAGTAGTCTTGATAATCGGATCGGCCATTCGCAACAAATTGCGATGGTCGCCCGTGACAAGCTGCGCAGGCCGCCCTGGCCTGGCCGCGGAGGCCCGATACCATCTTGTCGAGCCTGGCGCGTCCTCACTCGGTTGGGAAAATGTTCGGAGCCCGTCCGCGGGCGCGCATCCGCTCCGAAGCCCCCGAAATCGGCCGACGTTGATCTTCGAGCCTCTCCCTGGACGCTCGCCCCCCCCGGAGCCTCGCCGGGTCGAGGCCTCCTTTGCCCTGAGGAGGGGCCGACCCGGCCATCCCCCCCGAAGAACTCGCCGACTTCGGGGCCCGACCCCTCAGACGAGTGATGCTCGCTTCCCGCAGCGCCAGCCAGCGATGCAGACAGCTGCCGGCGCAGCCGTGCGGCCAAACCACGCGTGGCACCTGGGGCTCTCCGAGACAGGCGGGCATTGCGCTGGCAGCGCGCCCCGGGGGAGGCCCCGAGAGGATGCCTCCAGGTGACCTCCGTGGGGCCCTCGAGGGCCCCAGGGCGGCCACTCCCGGGGGCCGCTCCGGCGGATCCCTCCGTTGTCTTGGCGCGTGCTTTACTTCTCACCTCCCGCCAAGCCGCCCCAGCCCAACCCGAAGGCCTCCATCTGCCCTCCATTTCCAGGTCGGGGGGGGGGCGGGGAACATAGAGAAAGCACACATGGAACCCGTACCCTTCCCCCAACCCGAAATTCGGGTCTTCGGGTTGGGCTGGGGTGGTGTGGTAGACAGTCACCTTCCCTCCCTGAGATCCGACGTTGCAAAACAAACATTGCAACATCGTGCAACATCACGCCCGGACCCCTGGGCCCGATCTTTCTGCGTCAGCTTCCGAGCCAGATCCATCCGTGAGGGTCTGGGGGGCCCGAAATCGGGCGAGAACGCCCGTTGTGAAAAAGTCAGGAGGTGAAAAAACACACAGACACGATTAATCGTCGAAAACTTAGAAAATATTGAAAATTTGGGAATCATGGGATTTGTGTGTATTTATTTGTGTGTCCCTGGGCCCCTTCAGTCAGTTTTCGAGCCAGATCGATCCGCAAGGGTCCGGGGGGCCGGAAGTCGAGCGAGAACGCCCGTTGCGAAAAAGATGCAGCGCCAGGATCTCAGGGCTCTTTGCCTCACCAGTGCTCCTCCACGTCCAGTCTCGCGGCGTCCCGCGAAGGAATATATACTCTGGGTTTCCCAATTAGCGTGGGGGGTGCCCCCCCGACGGGGGTCAGCCTCGCCTCGTCGTCGCGCCGCGACGGGGGTCGGAGCGTCTTCGGCGCGCGGTGGCTGCCCTGCGACGGGGGCCGATGTGGAGCTGTCGGCGGGGGTGGCGCCCCCCCGACGCTTGCTGAGAAACTCGGAGCAGGCCAGGGGCCAGGCCGGCGGGGAGATGTGCGAAGAGCTCAGACGGCGGGCCCCCGGCGTGCGGGTGGAGAGCGAGTGCCTCGGGGCGTCCTGGCCAGAGGGCCACCGAGGTCCTCTTCACCGGCTGCACGTAGAGGGACGTAGAAGGGCGACCTTTCTCGCCAGAGCGACCTTCTTGGTGCGGGCACACTGGTCGGTTGTTGCTAGAAGAGCCCCTGGCCCAGGATTCGACCTAACAGAGACAGAAACACAAAACATAAGTATAAACCGCTTGGTCGGAAAAACGCCATAAACATAAACCTTCTGGCGCTCCGCGCGGATTTCTTGAATCCGCGCTGGGCCCCCCCGGCGGCGCCTCCGGCGCCGCCCCTGGCGCGCTCCGCGCGCCAGGGAGGGGGGTCCCGCGCAGATCCAAGATATCCGCGCGGAGCGCCAAAAGTTTATGCTTATGGCGTTTCTTCTTCTTCTTCTTCTTCTTCTTCTTCTTCTTCTAAAGAGGCTCCCACGGCCTCCAGAGCACCCCTCTCGAGGCCCAGAGAGCCCCAGGGACTCCTAAGACGGAGCGGCAAGCGGGAGGCACCCTCGACCGGGGGCACCTCTCCTGGCGCCCCCCCGCACTGGGGCCCCCCAGAGGACGGAGCGCCATGCGACAAGAGCGCCTTGCGCGCCCGGGTTTGGCGTCCCCACGGCCCCGGGCAGTCGCGCACCAGTCGGCGGCAAGCGAGGGGGGGGGAGGCGAGGCGAGGAGGGGGCCTCCTCAGAAGGCTCGGAAGTCCCCCGGCCTTCGGATAAGTTTTCGCTCTAAGCCTGCCGCGAAGACAGACCAAAAAACTTCTCTGAAGGCGCGAGGGCTTCTGGGAAGTCCCGCCGCCTTCTGAGAAGGCCTTCTCCTTCTCATTTTCCCCCCTCGCTCGCTTCCCTAGGGTTCAGTCGGGCATGTCCTTCTCCAGGAGGAATATTCAAAATCAGTTAAACATGGTCGGGGGACGATTCTCTGACTATTTTTAATCATTTTGGGGCATTGTTTGACCATTTTACCTAACAGCGAAGACTGATAGGTTTCTAGTGGGGTCAAAAGAGAGCATCATGACTCCTCAGGGGGGTCGGGGCGGGACCCGGAGCGGGACCCGGCGCGGCTGCTGTCGAAGCCCAAATCGCTTGGGACATCCTCGCGAAATCGCTCTTGGCGCTGCTAGAACTCCATTCCCGGCGTACATTTTGGATGCCCGGAGCCAACTCTAGGCCACTTCGTGCTCTTCGACTTCCCAGAACTCCATTCCCGGCGTACATTTTGGATGCCCGGAGCCAACTGTAGGCCACTTCGTGGTCTTCGAGTTCCCAGAACTCCATTCCCGGGCCACATTTTGGATGCCCGGAGCCAACTGTAGGCCACTTCGTGCTCTTCGACTTCCCAGAACTCCATTCCCGAGCCACATTTTGAATGCCCGGAGCCAACTGTAGGCCACTTCGTGGTCTTCAAGTTCCCAGAATTCAACTCCTGGGCATGATTTTGAATGCCCGGAGCCAACTGTAGGCCACCTCGTGATCTTCTAGTTCCCAGAACTCCATTCCTGGGCCACACATTTTGAATGCTGAGGCAGGCTGATGCTGCGGCCGAGGCAGGCTGAGGCTGAGGCAGGCTGAGGCTGAGGCCGAGGCTGAAGGCACACTGAGGCTGAGGCTGAAGCAGACTGAGGCTGAGGCTGAGGCAGGCTGAGGCTGAGGCTGAGGCAGGCTGATGCTGAGGCAGGCTGAGGCTGAGGCTGAGGCTGATGCAGGCTGAGGCTGAGGCAGGCTGAGGCTGAGGCCGAGGCTGAAGGCAGACTGATGCTGAGGCTGAAGCAGGCTGAGGCTGAGGCTGAGGCAGGCTGAGGCTGAGGCAGGATGAGGCTGAGGCTGAGGCAGGCTGAGGCTGAGGCTGTGACTGCGACTGCCGTTGCCACTGCGACTGTCATCGCGAATGCGACTACGACTGCGAGAACAGCAGAATTCTACAACTGGATTCTCATCTGAATCTGAAGGGGAATGCTTCCAGATATGCTCCTACACATCGCTGTTAGGTTGCTTTGCCGGGATAATCTTATTTTCCGTCCAAAATCAGCCTGTAGGGGGACACGCCCGACCTAACCCTAGGGGTCACCCTGGCGCGCAGCCGATTGAAGGACAAAGTCGCCACGAAGGAGAGGGGTCCCGAGGGCAACGGGTCCCGGGGCTTTCCGCCGTGCGCGGGCTCTCGAGGCCTTCCCCCTGGCCCCGGGGCCGTCGAAGCCTCCGAGCGCGTGCCACCGCTCGCAAAGTGCCGACTCGCAACCGTCCGACTGAACGTGTGTTCCTCTATGCCACGGATCGTAAGTTCTACGCGGCGGATCCAGGCCATGTGCGAGTAGCTACTTCGCGAGCAGTGGAAGGCAAGGGCTGGTCCCTGGGGGAGGCCACGGGGTGCAGGAGCCGTTTCCCTCGGGACCCGCTCCCCTCGTGCCGAGAGAGGCAGGCAGGAGCTAGGCTCGCGGACTATGGGGGGGGAGGGAGGAGGGGGGCCCGCGGATCCGCACCAGCACTGCTCGAAGCCGGTTTCTGGGGCCTCACGTCGGCTTGAACGCGGCACCAGGGCCCCCCCCCCCGACCAAGACAGCCCAGGAGGCCCAGTACGAGCCCCATGATGGAGACGGGCCGAAGACGGCCCAAGACGGCGCCAGGGAGCCCCAGTTGGCCCCCGAGAGCCCTCCAAGAGGCAAGCATGATTGTTTGTTTGACTTGTGCATTCGCTTTGTCGATCTTCAGAGCGTCCAAAACGGCCGAAGAAGCGCCCAAGAGCGCTCCGTGACGCCCCGCAATGCTCGGAGGTGGGCCCTGAAAATGCGCCAGGACGACCTAAGATTAAGTCGGGCTTGTCCCTCTACAGGAGGAATATTCAAACATAGTTTTAAAGATAGGCTGGGGACGATTTTTATTTGTTTTGTTTTACAATTGTTGGGTATTTTGTGTGTGTTACTATTTTTGAACATTGTTGCGTATTTTTTGATTGCGCATCCAGAATCCGCCTGCAGGGGGACATGCCCGACCAACTCCTAAGAGGGCCGCAAGCGGGCTCCGGGAGAGCCCGAGGGAGCCGCGACGTGCTCGGAGGGAGCCTCAATGACGATCACTGCTGGCACTACAGGTCCACAGTGCATGCCACGTTGGCCCTGCGTCCCGAGCTCTGCACCCGCTACGGGTTGGGGCCTTGGATGAGGAACCCTTAGATAAGGAGTCCAGGGTCTGGAGGCCCGTGGAACTCCAATCGAGGCTTGGCCATGGATATCACCGCCGCCCTCATCAGATAAGGAATCCTCCAGGGTCTGCAGCCTCCTGGGCGTGTTCCTTAACCAACGCCCCCACCGTAGTGTGCACCACCCGAGTGCGAGAGGTTTGAGCGCCGGCCTGAGCAATAGGTTCGATGGCAGGCGGGCTATGGACAGCAGCGCGCGCGAATCTTCGACGTGCGAATGACACACTCAGCCTGCTAGCTTCGACATACCTTCGCAAAACACGTATGTTGCTACACAG